AGATCCTGCCCCCAGGCCATGAAGAAGTGGGGGTGGGAGACAAGAGGGGGTTTCGGAGGGGGTGGAGGGGGGTGCTCCTCAGGTGGAGGAGGCGGAGGATATATAGGTAAAGTGGCTTCGTGTTCCAGGTGTCCCTTCCCCTCCTTTAGTGCTAATGATCAGCAAAATGCTGATAGATAATTCTCCTGTAGCTAGCATATTTTACTGTTATGTACTAGTATGTCTGTGTGTTGCCTTTTTAGCACTAGATGAATGTATGGCATTTAGTCTTTGAGCACATAGCCAAATGTCAGTCCTTCAGCTGTAATCCTGGCTTTGCACTCTGCAAAATGTGCCATCGAGATCCTGCTGTGATTCTTGAGCCTTCCATTTTGGGGCTATAGTGCTGAAGAATGAGGAGCCACAGGCTATGTGCTCCCATTGCCAGCACCTGTGTTTTGAGGACTTTGGTCCTGGAGACTGGCAGCCAGGCTTTATGCCAGGGAAAGACGCAGCTTCTTCTACCCTGCCCTGCTGTGGGTGGGCCTTGGTCCTGTGCAGGTGGTCTCTGGGGGCAGAGACTCAGGCTGCCAGCCAGGACCCGTCTTAATAATGACGGTGGTGTTGACTTCAGTCAACAAGGAGCTGATTTCATGTGCTGCGGGTCTCAGGACAGCTGTCAGATGGCATTATGTTGATTATAACTGGTGTGGACCAGATTCAAGATCTCTACTAACCCGTAGTCTCCTGGGCCACATAGTTTCTTCAGCCATCTGCACTGTGGTGGACTTTTTAACCCTTGGTTCTCCACAGCTTGAATCAAGTGTATGACAGACTAGAAATCCTGAGAGGAAGTAATGAGTTTAAATGATTAAGTGCATGTTTTGTACCAATGTTACTGTGTAATGCTTCTTTTTCCAACAGAATGCCTCACATGACATAATTCTAATTTCACTGAAGGTGGTTAAAGAGGAAAAGCCATTTTTGGGTGGGGTGGGGGAATCTTTGCATGCTTGTAATACAAAATACATGGCCCGTACTATGCTTCTAATATGTTCTATGTATTGCCCATACTTTGCTCCTGATATGTTCTATATGACCAAGCACAAATGAGCAACTAGACCAGCCGGGTTAGCTCAGTTGGTTAGAACACGGTGCTAATAACGCCAAGTTCACAGGTTCAATCCCTGCTTACTGCAGGGGGGTTGGGCTCGATGATCTCTCAAGGTCCCTTCCAACCCAAAGCATTCTATGATTCTATGAACTTGTGAATTCCTTCAGTCCCCACTCCTGGTGGACCACCCTGCTTTCAGGGTGCAAAGGAGAGGAAGGATATCAGATTATTCATTCCCTCTGCTGACACAGTAGATACCTTGATCAGCGAGGGTACTGAACTTAGCCCTTCAGTACTGGTGTTTTCCAGTCTGTTGGCTACATTAATTTTAAGAAGGGCTTATATGTTTCACGGCATCCAAATGGTTAAAGATGAAGTTTGTGCCTTAGTTTGCAACAGTCTGCCTAAAACAGAGCTAAGAAATTGATTGTCACAAGCTGCTGCTATTAAATTGAAGTTCTAGAGATAAAAGACCAGTGGTTCATGCCACAACTCACTAAGTGTTCCCTATATGTTAAATACTATGATTTATTCTCTTTTCTCATTTGGATGCCTCCCTAAATATGCTGAAGTCATGCATGTTGCAATGCTTATCTGTATTTTAGTGCCAATGAGCCTCAGTCTGTTAAGGTAACTTCTGGTTTGACATAGGTGGCAATGCTGCAGTGGACAATGACCCAGAGATGGATGGGGAGGATGGTGTGTCCTTTATTAATCCAATTGGTACTTTATACACTCCAGCACTTAAAGGTATTCATGTTGGTCAGAAGTCTTCTACTGGGTTTATTTCATGTTAAGAATAGCTTGCATCTGTAGGACACTTTACAACCCTTTGGTACAGCTTAGTGTCATCATGAATATGAGGAGGCAGACAGATAGCATAATAAAGTCCAATGGAGAATGAACACAAGTAGCAGGAAGAAAGCAGGTGGAGAGAACATCAAGGCTATTAGAAAACACTTCCCAACAATATAGTCTACCAGCCTGTAGAATAATTTTGGCCAAGAAAAGTGGTAACAGAACCTCATAGTTCAGGTAATTTAGGAAAGAAACAGATGAAGCACCTCACTATTCACTAACAAACATGTTCCTTAGAGTATCCCTCAGCAAAGTATCCAGGTTGGACCAGGGAGTTTCTAGAGAAAACAGTGCAGTGCTGCCCAGTGGTGCACGGGAGTGATAAATACTGCCACTCCAACCTGTGTTTGCCCAGAAGTCAGTGTCTTGAATATGTTCGCGACGTGTTCAGAAAATACAAAAATATCTATTTGCTCAAAAAAATGTTTGCTTTAGAACAGCCAGAAGTATTTTCAAATACAGATGGACTCTGGCCTGATAGATTCAGCCAGAAAATTTTGAAAACATTGCAGTGTTTGATTTCAGAGGGAGTAAAGGCCAGGAAAGAAAAGGGTGAGCCCTACAGACTGCTGAAAGGGCATGTTTCCCTTAGCCTCAGCAGCAGCCTGCTTGCTAACCTGGTAGGACTATCTGCTCAAAGAGAGCCAGTGCACCTCAACTGCAGCGGGACTGATTTAGCTGGATGTTATTTTCTACATGAGAAAAGGTCAGGAGCTATGGAAGGTGGGGAGAAATTGGTTTCTTAGATGGGGCCCACCCTGCCATCTGGCAACCATGACCACCATGTCCCCTGTTTCTGTCAGTACCCAAGACAATGATATAAATGATCTTTACAGTAGTTAACTCAGCTTCTTTCATCCACTCCCTAGTGACAGAGGGGCACGGAGAGGTGGATATTAGGCTGCATCTTAACTGCAGTCACTGTGAGATGGATGAGTGCCGTGTTGATCTTGAGACTCAAAAAGTCATTTGCTTTTGTGAGCCAGGCACAGAGTTGGCTGAGGATGGTGTGTCTTGCATAGGTAAGTGGATGTATGGGGTAGGCTGCTAGCATGTGAAACACAAAATGCATGGCAAAAATCTGTAGTTTGGACTGTAAGACACCCTGAAAGTGTTATCTAGTCTTTCTTAAAACTGGCTTCTGTTGAATGTTACCTTCTTTCCTGGTGGTATATGCTGCAGAGTTATTTTGCTAGGATATAGACATATCAGTGCTGAGGAATGGTGCACAGAGCTGCATTGCTGGTTTGCTTTACAGTATATGTTTGGCACACTGGGTGGCACTGAGGAGAGTCAAATTTTGTGCCTGGTTGTTCTGATGCTCACATTCTGCTCTGAAATCATGAAAGTTTACTCACTGAAGGAATTTTCCACCTAAACTTAAATTCCAGGTCAGTCCTCTTAAGAAGCAAAAAAATGTACAAGGTGAAGAATATAATTCCGTGGATTTGGACATATAAGGTGCAGGTGCAGAATCTATAAGAAATTCTGCATGAGAGATCTCTGAGGAAAACTAAAGATTGTACTTGGCTTACTTGAAAAACCAAGTGTTCAGAGCTCCATTACTAGGTTTCCTTCATATTCTTGCCCAGCAGTTAGAGCAAGTGACTCCAGGGTTTCAGGATCCTGCTCGCAGCTTTGTCACTGGCATGGGAAAATTGTTCTGTATTTTTGTCATTCCCATCTGCAAAAGGGTAAAAAGCATGGTCATTTTGCCAGGGTGAAGTAAACCTTAATAGATGGTCATTGAATGCCTTGTGGTCCCAAGTGAGGATGCAGCTATGGAGTACTTTGTACTATACTTACTGTTATCAGATTTTTCTGCCTGGGTTAGATGCATTTAGGAGATGATGTATTGCAGTCCTCCTTCTGCTTTTGCTGTGATTTGGCATTGATAGCAGCACTTTAACCCTGGCAATGTAATGTTCTTTCCACCTCCCCAACCTCCTGCCCCTGGTTTTTATGGTCTTGTTTTCGTACCCAGGGAGTGCACGTGTTAATTTGTTGATAGCAAACCATCTGTTTTAATGGCTTGATATTAATTGAGGAAAGGGAAACAATGAGGTATTAGAGGTCATATATCCTGAGAACTGATCATGCCAGAGGTTGCACCTACACTATAGGAGCAGCAGATGAGTAAATGGAAGGAAGAGCAGAAAAATCTGTCTGAAAAAAAGTGGCTGCTGGAAGATCATTTCAAACATATAATTCCTTCTTTTCCTGCCTCTGTTACAGCTGAGCCAGTGGTTCATCTCCCTCTCTCCTTGGTCTTGTCTGTAGTGACTTCAGCACTGGTGGCTGCTTTAATTTTGGCTTTTTCAGGAATCATGATAGGTGAGTGTTTCTCCAAAAGATATTTTCATATGAGGGCTGGATCTGAGCCAGGGATAATTGGGCCCTGGGAAGCGAAAGGATTCAGGTTTTTAGCTACTGCTGTATTTAATGACATCTTCCCACACACACGCCTTAACTTCAGATTTCAGTAGTTGTTTCTAACCACAATGACCAATTTGAGGAGGTTTCGGTTACTGACTGCATCTTGAAAGAGACATTATTGCTTGTGTTCTAGTGTAAAGCTGCCAGAACACAGCTGCCACTGGTTTTGTGAGAGCTGTTGGTGCTTAATGCCTAAAAGCAAGCTTCTTTATTTGTGTGCCTTTATACAGATTTAGCCTCTTAATGTATGACACTTAAGCTTGAAATTCTCACATAGGTTCCCCTTTTACAAACTGCTGCTTAGTAGGATGTGGGCATTCTTGGCATGTTTATTTGAAATTCTAAAAGGTATTTTTCACCCTTTCATTTTCTTATTTGAAATAATTGCTCACCTGCATTCAATTGCAAGCAGAATAGATTTGAATCAAAGAAAAGCAGGCAGGGATTCAAACCACAGCTCTGACACCTTTCTTTATCCACACTGTATATAGTCTGAGGGAGGGGAAGGATGTACCCAGAGCAGCAAATGGCAACTATTAAATTAGATTTGCACAGCTGTTTCAGTTTTAAGAATTTCAGGAGTTATCAGTTGCACACAGATGGTCCTACATGTATGATTTCTGGCCTGACAGTACCCCTTTAAAATTACTAATTACTTCTCAGGGAGTGGAAGAGTAATCCTCTTTCCATCCAACTAGCCTATCATTGCCATCTCAGGAAAGAGCAGCGATTTAAAAAATCAAAGCAAAAGCAATGAGGAGGAAAATGGAGGACAGGAAGGGTTTATGGATAGGTCATTACATCTGTCTGCCTTTGCGAGTGCATGTTTACCCCTTAAATTCTTCCCCTGAGCAACATCTGCTGGAGAAGATGCAATAGCTATTACCGTCACAGTCTTTGGGCTCAATCCAGCTCCCACAGAAATCAATGGTAAGGGTAATAGTGATTTAACCTGCTCCTGATTGGCATCTTGCTTTGAAAAAAATACCACAATATCAATTACTATTTCAAGGAATATCCACAGGATGTTTTCTTTTAAAGTGTGATTTCTAATGACATTTCAGAAATATCAGTGAAGTGATTCAAGGAATATAACAGTACCATAAACTGATTTCAAATTTAGTCCAACTCTGTTGTTTAGAAACAGAAGTTTTGCAGAATGAGCTAGTTTTATGTACAATGTATTATTCTGAGGTAACAGTTTAATCTATCCATTTTGAACAATATGATGCAATAATTCATTTCAGATTTTAGTCACTTCTACGTGATTTAGGAAAGTTGGTTATACCCTGACTCCCTCAAGTTTGGAGCTGGACTCATAGTTGGCAGATCCAGTTAAACTAAATAGAACAAAACAAAAACCTCAAAACTGTGAAGTCAGAGATCTCTGCAAGTGAAATACATTTTACTTCTTCCAAACAGTTCATGAGCAAGCCTGTTTCTTCATAAGATGTGTAAATCAGAAGTTCCTGGATAACTTCAGATTCCATTTTCTATCTGTAATTATTTGATGTACAGAAATATGATGGTGTCACTGTCTGGTTTGATTCACTAAAATTTGGCCACACAGCGAAGTCCAGTGAGACGTGCTGCATGGCTGCTGTCCTGTTCCAAAGTCAATCTGTGTCTCTGGTTTGCTGTGTTCTCCATATTTAGTATATCGTCGGAAGCACCAGGAGCTACAAGCCATGCAGCTGGAGTTACAGAGCCCAGAATATAAGCTGAGCAAGCTGCGTACCTCCACTATCATGACAGACTACAATCCCAACTACTGCTTTGCAGGAAAGACCACATCCATTAGTGACCTCAAAGAGGTGCCTCGAAAAAACATCTCCCTTATCCGGTAAATTAATCTTTGCCTTCCCCATGCTTCACACTATACACTCAAGTATGCTGGCTTACTTACACATATGTGAACTCATGTCTTTGTGCAGGCACGTACAAATTCTCATGCACTCTTAGACTCATGCCACTTTTCATAAGAAAGATGTAAAGCTGCAGTAGTTAGGCTTGTGTGGAGAGAACTAGACTTTGGCAGTCTCCTTGACCTTTTACAGGTGTAGTGTTAATCTTCTGGGATTATGAGAGGAACTGAAGAGTCATCACCAGTAATTCAGACACATCTTCTGCAGACTGTGCAATGAATGGCTCATTTGCAGTATTAAAAGATGAAATGCTGGGAAGGCCGAGGATTGCAGGAGGCTCTTTTAAAGTCTTTGATGGGATCTTTGGTAAAGACAATGACATCCTTAAGTACAACAGCAGGAAAAGCAATGGGTTTGAGACTGCCAGACAGTATTAAAAAGACAGGAATAAGAAGCCAACAGGATAGTCATATCTAGATCAGAACTTCTGGAAAGTTTGAAATAGTGTCCTAAGAAAAACTTGAAAATTCAGAGTTCTTTCCCAACTTGCTCTACTGCAGGATACAGTGCATGCCACTTGTGAATGTGACATTACCCTTGTACCATGCAGTTTTACACAAAAAGCCAAGAAGTGGAAGCAGGAGAGCTTGAAAGACTAGGGAGCTTACAGTGCTAAAAAAGATGATGCTCAGAGTCTACGCAGTCTGCAATGTTTTGCTGCCTCTTATCGCATTCCCCCTTGCCTTGCACATCTTGCTGGACTGCCTCTGGAAGTTTCCAGTGTACCCTGTGCTGCTGCTGCCTTTGTCATTTGGGCTCTGAAAGGATTTTTGAAGTGTGGCAAGCTGCAGAGAGCAGAGGATACAGCTGGGAATTGATAAGGGCAGGGAAGGTTGGCTTTTTGGGAGGAGAGTGAGCTATGAGCTGTAGAGGTTTGTTTTATACCCTCAGTTTGTAATATGTTGGTCAGGCATAGCCAAGAATAGTGTCTCAACCTGATACCTGCAAAATGTTATTAAAAGAAGTGGTTGAGTCACAGGCAACGCAAGTCCTCGCTGTGGTTTCACTGCCTAGACTGGTCTTTACCCTGGCAAAACTACAGACAGAGCTTATGCAACAACTGAGCAGACTGCCCTTAGCAGCACCTGTTTGAACGGACAGGAGGGCAACAGCCCATGCAAAAACAGTGCACCGATAGACCAGAGAGCAGAATCAGTGCGACTCTCAGGCCAGACCTGGCTCTACCAGGAAAGTGTGTGTTGTAGAAGACAGCTTTATTGAGAGCCTTTTACCTGGACCGAGATGCAAGAATGTCTCTTAGAGGCTCAGGCTACCTACTGCCCAATGTACAGCCTGTGCAGGGTTAAGAGAGACTCAGAATGTGAGATGCAGCATCATTCTCTGCCAGAGTTCGCTATGTCATTATGAGATGCCACCTATGTGGTATAGCTATTGTTGTACCAGTTGACTTAACATTAAGCAAGTGAAGACTGAATAGACAGGTATGCAAAATCTGTATCACAAGGACATAGGACAGGATCTGTTGTGTGATTACTTCAATTCCTTTCTCTTTTTCTTATATCCTTATTCAAAATAAAACTGTAAATTTCAAAATATGATCAGTGCCAGAAACGATTCTCAGCACGAATTCCTAGAGCTGAGTGCTTTACAAAGCACTGTCATCACCACTTACTGGCTAAGGTACTTACCCATAATCACAAAATAAATCAGGAAAAGAGACTTGGTTTAAAATTCAGGTCCTTTGAGAACCATTGTGCTGCTTAGTTTCTTGTTCAATGTTTTCTTTAATGGAACTATTAATGTCTTTAGGGTGCGGGAACACCAAGACTTAAGACCTGTCTTTATTGACCTGTTTTGGAGCACCCACCACTAAAGCACTGACACCAAAGCCATAGAAGAGTGCTGTCCATTACACACTGCAGCTTGACTTCACTGGGGACTGTTCGCTTTTGAGGATTGCTTTCCCTGCTGATTAAGTACATTGTAGGTCCAGGAAAGATCACATCAAGGTCTGGTCCCCTGCATAGTGTGAGGAGTGGTATTGTCAGTGTCAATATCCAGTTCTCCCTGTTTCACTACCATGAAAATTGTGAGCCCGTTCTGTGAGCTGTGACCACAATGTTATAATGTGCGTTCTCTGTAGTAAAACCTTCTTGTCTTCTCTGGTCTGTCCAGGGGTTTGGGCCACGGAGCCTTTGGTGAGGTATATGAAGGTCAGGTGGCAGGGATCCCCAGCGACCCCACTCCCTTGCAGGTGGCTGTGAAAGTAAGTGACAGTGTATGAGTTATCATGATGGTTTCATGTACCTTTCGCCCAAGAGTCCCAATGCATTATAAAAATGAAGATGACTTAAGTGTTACTATAGTACTGAAGGATATGGCTGGAAAGGTTGCTGCTCTGTTGCAACACTTTAATCCATCACAGCGATGGTACAGCTTGTAGGATATGGGCTTGTGAGACTATTAAAAGATGTCTGTAAGTAGTAAATAGGCAAAGATTTCCCATACAGCTGTAGCAGACTGCAGGTATGAGAAATAAATCCATCCTCTGTCCATCCTCCACATGCTACACTTGGTGTGGTAATCTGTCCAAAGCCTTTGAGTCAGAGGCCAAAAGTCTTCACAGGGCTAAGAGCAGCTGGAACATACATCAAAGAGCCCGCAGGTAGGACATGGCTGTTTTCCAGGGATCTCACCACTCCACTGCAGGATGGATATGCACTGGATGTGAAGCTAAATCCTAAGAGACCCTGGCAGGGTTCTGCAGGCCTTCAGCAGTCTAGCTAGCTTGTTTTCTCCTAGAGGTTACATAGTAGTACAGTCCTACTGCTGGTTATAGTTCATAGTCTTGCTGGGAGGTAGGAGTATTGAACTGTCAGAGAGCTCAGGAACTGCGGTCTCATTCCTTGTCCTCTATACAGCAAAGTCTCATATATTGAGCACTGTTCCCTGTGCACTCTGGGCTATTTCCTTTGCTGGGAGGAGGATGACAATGGCATTGATGGGACATGTGTTCTGATCTTTACCTTTCAACAGGCCTCACAGTCTAGTTTAGTAATGGTCTAGCTATTATCTTAGACTGAGGTTTCTTTTCGAGAAACAAGAATTGCTGCAGACAATGTTAGTGCTTTTGATTGTGCCAGGTGTTCTACAATCTGTAAGTTTAAACACCTTCTCCTTGTCAACCTGTTCTTTCTTTTCCAGACATTGCCAGAAGTGTGTTCAGAGCAAGATGAGCTGGACTTCCTCATGGAAGCTCTCATTATTAGGTGTGTATAAATAAGGTGAACAACACTTGTGTAGGCTTGCTAAGCCCAGCACTGTAAAGAAAAAAGGTGCTTTGGGAGGTGATGTCCACACAACACATCTATTTCAGTAGTTTTAGTGCATGGCTGTCAGTATTTTACAAAGCGGATAGGCGTTACCATCCTTTCCTATTCTTCTTACAAATGAAGAGGCACCAGATGATTAAGGGCTAAATTTTCAAGAGGGTCCACACTGGTTTTCATTATCCAAAGTGAAAATCTTTAGGCCCAGTTTTCAGAATTGATAATAGGATCCTTTGATTTCTCTTAGAGATCAGAACATGAGGTAAAAACAAACATTAGGAGTTCAGGTTTGACTAGTCAAAACTAACAGATGGCATTGATTTAATGCTGCTGTCGTGTCACATGTCAGTGACTGAATCCTAGAATCAGGAAATAGTTTCCTATCACATTGAGGTCTGGAGAAACAAGGAAGTATCAGAGACTAGACCCTGAGGAATATCCCCTACGTGAGCAGATTCCTGTGGCAGTATGTTATTTGGAATAACTCTGCCCTAGCCCAGCTTCTGCCCCTTGGGTGGGGAAATTAAGAGCAGACTTTTCTCTGTTATCAGACATTCTCTGCTTCCTGTGGCCCACAAGTCTTGCTGTAGCCCAAAAAGGGTGCAGAATGTAAGAAGAGGAAAAGCAGCCAGAAGCCACTCCTTCCCCACCTCTGTTTCTGCACTATGCAGACAGGCACAGAGTGCAGGGGTAGCGCTTTAGCTTTATCCAGTTACCCTCCCTTTGAGATGTGTTACTTTCTTAAAAAAAAAAAAAAGAACATTCCCCGCAGCAAAACATTTTAATTCTTTTCTGAAATTGTGCTTTTTGGATCAAAGTTGCTCCATAATTGAGTCTCCCTGTCTCCACAGCAAGTTCAACCACCAGAATATTGTGCGCTGTATCGGGGTGAGCTTGCAGGCACTGCCCCGTTTCATCCTGCTAGAACTCATGGCTGGAGGTGACCTGAAATCGTTCCTGAGAGAGACACGGCCTAGACCGGTAAGAAAAGAGAAAATTGAATTTTATTTAGTAAGCTGCTGCCACAAGGCAAATACATAACTATAAAAGAGCTGATCCATGCAGCTACTACTTCCCAGCATTTTAGAGAGTTGGAAAATTTCTGGAACTAGAAGACCACTGTGGGGGCAGGACATGGATGTATAGGGAGCAGATGCTGCCGAGGTTATGCAGAGCTGCCTCATCCCTGGACTTTGCTAGATAGCATTGCAGATACTACCTAAAGAAAGAACAAAAACAAAGTTTAAAAAAAAATGTTAAACTTTACTCTTACCTTCCTCACACCAGCTGGGGGCAGGTTGGGGGGAAGCATTGAGCTAGTAATGATAAATCTGTTATTTAAACTGCTGGTCAGGTGCATTTCTGTGGTTATCTGTCAGTGCAAGTTTGACATAGGCAAGGAGGGAATCAGGCCTGGAGCTGTTGACTTAATAGCAAATATCTTTAGTCCAGAGTTTTAAAGATTTTCCCACTGCAGTCTTGGATAGGTTGCAACAAAGTGTCTCCTGCCTGGATGAGGCGGCTAAACACCCAGAAAGTCAAGATGTTTGAAATCTGAGCAAGCAGTCTTTATAAATAGAGATTGGTTTTCTGTAGCACCTAGAGATGCTCTTGTCAGCTCATACAAATGGGCTGAACTTGGTGGTAGGTGAATGGGGAAATTCATGTTTTGCAATGTGGGCTCCGCTCGCACCTGGTGCAGAGCAAAATGGCATGGGCAAGGTATGCTGCTTGGTAGGTCCTTTGTTCAAAACTGCCAGGACAGGCTGAGCTATGTGTGAAGTGGCAGGTGAAACAGGATGGTGTAGGGCAAGGGCATCCATCACTTTGCAATGGAAGCATCTTTTTGGCTCATTAAATTAGAGAGAGAAGCCGGCTCAGTAATGATCGGGATCTTATAAGGAAGCACCAAGAACATTAGTCCTGAACAGAAGGAATTTTTACCTACTTGCAGTAAAATGAACCAATTGCTTTTGTGGATGAAAAGCCCTTAATCTTTATAGGATGCAGTCATGGGAGCCTTCTGATCTGAGGGGTTTCTTTCTGTTTGCCCCTACCCCAGTCATGAGTTCCTTCTTGTGTGCCCGAGCTTCCATTTCTGTTAGCAGTAGCTCTGTGCAACCCCTGTGAAAGCTAATGTCCGAAGAGGTGGATAGATCACTCCAGGCACAGCATACATTATTTCCTTGGTATTTCTCTTTCTGCCTTCACAGTCTCTCCTTCCTTTCTTCTTCTTTCCTCATCTTTCCTGACCTGTTTGAGGTTATCTGAGACTGACCATAACTACTACTACACACAGGGGTTGTTCCCAGCACCTTGAAGATCCTCCCCTAATCCTGCATTTAACATGCTCCCAGGACTGAAGCAGACCTGGGACTGATGCTGCTGTTTTCTGCTCTGTCCCATGCTTGTCACGCTTTGGGAAAGCTGAGGTTCAAATGCAGATGGGCAGTTGCAAGCTGGAACTGATTCAGAAAAACAGTTTTCAGTCCCTCTTTAACAGCTGGGTGAATGTGGACAGCTTAACTGTGTGCAGACACAGATTCACACGTTTCTGCTCCACTTCTGACGCCTTCCTTCCCCTTGCCTTGCCCTGCTTCTGCTGCCAACCCATGCGGTGGCTGCCTGGTGAGAATGACAAGGTCGTTTGTTGTCTGGCTGCCAGGGCAGCTTCTGAGGGGCTAATGGCACCTGTGAGCACTGAGAAATCAGCCTCTGGTGCACATGTTTGACTGCCGGCTCAGGAACTATGAGGTTAGGAGCCTGAGTGATGAGAGATGAGATGTGTGCAGGGCATTGTGCTCTGTGAAATATGGGATCCAGCTGTGGAAGTGGATTTACCCTCTGCATATACTTGAGGTGTGACAGAGTCTCTGCACGTGAGGCCCGTGGCTCAGTACTGCTGGATGTATCTTTGCACTGCTCTTAATGAACCCTGAGCTGCTTTGTTCCTCCTATTGCTCATTCAGGGAAGACAGGCAGAAGGTAGGCATAGCAGACTGGACATCTAGCGGTCCAAGCCCATTAAAGGAAAGGAAAGACAAGGAAAAGTGCAGAGTAAACAGGCTTAGATGAGCTTTGCTTCCAACAGGAATTAGTTGAACACACAAGACATAGCTGACTGACTCAGTAAGAGAGGTGCACTGCTTACTGTGCAGTAAGCGCATTATGAATTACTGTTGTCATTTCCCCTTGTTTTTTTCCAGTTTTGTATTTTCCAGCTGATTTCCTTACTACCTTGTCTTTGCCACCTACTTCTGCTTTCAGCCTGATTGCAAAAGAGAGATTTACGTGTTTATTCTCTACCTTCATCCCACAGTTGCTCTCCCCACTCCCTTGCCAGTAACTTCAAATTTATTTGCCAGTTTCAGTCAAATTTAAGAGAGGTGTGAAAAGCATTAATTGGCATTAATTCTAAGGCTTCACGGAAAATGAAAGCACCATGCTAGAGCAACCACTGAGCAAAACAGTTGTCTTGTTTGGCTTGCCACTGGGCAGCAAGAACCTGTGTGACTTTGAGCGAGGCACACGCAGCATGCTGCCCTGCACTCAGACACTGCAGAGCGTGGAATGGAGCAGAGGGAATGGTGGAGGAGAAGGTGAAGCAAGGGAAAGAGGAATGTAAGATGTTGCGAGGGACATGAAATGGGAAGCTAGAGGTACCGCAGGAGGTATCAGGACATGGGATCCAAGTTAATGGGGGATCAGGATGCTGCCAGCACGGGTTATTGCATATCATTCATCTGTGTTCTCCATGTAAATAATGAAAGCAATGTTCAGCCAACACATAATGATTTTTCTGGACTCTAAGCAAGAATGATCATATGTGTAAGCCAAAAGTTCATCCAACATCACTGATACAATACCAGTGACTCTTGTGGAATAGTGTCAGTTTATGTCAGCCAGGTCTACTCCGTAAGCTTCAGATTCATACTTCTCCATGGGTCCAGGGTTTACAGCCCTGAAGGGTTTCTGTGTTCCATTTCTAATAAAGTTTCACATCTATTACAGGATTACCCCTCCCTCCTCATCTGGAAAGAGATAGTCTGTTAGATTCAGAGATGCCTGGAATCAGAGCCTTCGCTCATTATGAGCATTGCAGAATTGTCCATTCTGGGAAGTTCAGTGCTGATCTTTCTCACACACAGCGCAGCAATCAAAGAACAGCCCTGGAAGATAAATCGTATACAGATAAATGATTCCCCTCCTTTGTGTTGTGCAGCCTGTTGCACAGAGCAGTGATTACACTGAACAATACACAGAATTTCATTCACCTTTAGCAAGATTCAGCCTCATCCAGGGAGCTGTCACACTAGTGCTTCCAGCATGCCCGCTGCTCTGAGCAGCAGTGCATTGCAGCTGGCATTGTCCATTCATCTGGGGAGCAAAAGGCATAAAGTGAATCCTTTGGTGTCTCAAGGCTGCTCCCCTTGCAAAATGAATCCCAAACCTCCATTTTTCAAACAAATTACACGGCTAAATTGTCCTTGGCTGGGCAGTCACATCTGTTTTAGGACTGTATTTAGCCAAATAGAAGGTGGAAGGAATTCATCCAAGGAAGGGAAGGAAGGGGAAAAAAAAGGGAAAAAGATAAAAAAGCTATGCTGTTCAAATCAGCTTGTGGTGTCAGCCTACTGACTGCCTTGCAGTATAGCTCAAGTCTGGAATCGATTGCACAGGAAAGAATTGGCCTTTTCACTCAGTTTTCACTTCAGGTTTCTGACCCTTGCTCAGAAGAGGAGGGAATGGGTAGATTGAGATATTCATTTCCCTTTGGTTATGCCCTGAAAGGGAAAAAGAAGGCATCTGCATCCTTTCTTACTGTAGCCATCTTGTGTAGCTGGTGAGTCACTTTAACTCACAGAGGTAAAAAAGATTATTCCCTCCTCCCCACGAAAGCAGGGGGAGGGGAGAGGCTTTATGTTTTCAGAAAATGGTTACTCTATGAAAAGAAAGGTTTAGGGGGAGATGCAGTCTGGTGCTTTAAAGAATCAGTTAAGTGTATATATGCAATGAACTATACTGTGTAAATAATAAAATGCAGGCAGGTGGTACGTAGTCACAAACAATTTTGTTGTATGACACCACACTGAAAAAGCAGGCTTTGTTCACACAGAGATGCAACATTTTTCAATTATTTCATTAGTCAACTGTTGAGGCCAGGTTTTTCCTAATCTCTTCAGAAGACATTAAGACTTTTTTAGGTTTTACCAGCCAATGTCCACTGTTTAACTACTGGCTGCTGCCTGCTGCAGAGCCTGGACTTATTTCCAGTCCCAGTTAACAACGGTTTAGATCAGGTGGGATGGCCAGCACAGCATCGCATCAATCTGGAGATATGTTTCATCACAACAGATGGCTGGCATGGCCAGCAGTCCCTGTCACTGGAGAACCTGTGCTGGTTTGTGCATCAGTGGGAGACACCCATGGGCAGGTGTGCCTTTTGGGCACTGGGCAGAATGGTAGGTGTCGTAAAAGAGAACTAGAAGGTGGGATAGGCTTGTTTGGTCCAATAATTAAAGCCACAGATAAACACTTAGCTAGCAGATGGCTGCTGTGGAATAAGCAGCCACTGCCACCCAGTTGTTTGTCATCACCCCGCTGGCAGCAGCAACTTCCTCCTCCCCCACAGGACTGGCCGCAGGGATCACTGATTCACACCTCAGTGCAGAAACTGATGATTTGGCTTCAGAGGCCGGCAAATGTGAGCCGGTGCTAAGCCTGCCCTTTTCACTAAAGCATCTGGCTCCTGCTGGCAAGGGCTGTAGACTTCATCAGAGGAGCAGGAACAAGGAGTTGGCAGCCTTATTCTTCCATAGCCGTTGGCTACGCAAACCTGTGTCAGTGCTCTGAGGGGCAAGATAAAACCTACACAGATGTGGAGGAGGGAAAGATCAAATGTGACTCATGCCATTATACAAAATGTCATTCTCATTGTTCAAGGTGACTTTAGAGAGGAGTTAGCAATAATACAAAGGAATTGAGTGAGGACCTGTTCAGGCTACAGATCTCCTCAAAAATCATGCTGAAAATTCAGAATCGTCTCCCATGAGAACTGGGGATAATTCTTACAGGGGCATCCCAATGGAGCTGGAAAGTCAGATCTAGCTCTTCTGATTCTGTCCCTGGGATTTGTATGACATCGTGCCTGCACATCCTTTGCATAGTTCATGGATATGAACGCTCTCTTGCACATTTTTCTAATCCCCTTGTGTATTAACATCTGAGCTATGTCACTTGTTGAAGAGTTCCCAGCACCGTGTCAGTGACAAATTGTGCTATGTTCTTGCTTTTAACCCACGTGTGTCCCTTGTCTTTTGGTAGAATCAGCCCTCCTCCCTTTCCATGCTGGACTTGCTCCACGTGGCTCGTGACATTGCTTGTGGGTGCCAGTACCTGGAGGAGAACCACTTCATTCACAGGTAGGTGAACACATCTGTGTCAGCATGGGCATGACTAGCATACAGGCCAGCATGGACTCGTAATGCCCTGCTTGGTATGTTTATGTCCTGCTGCACTCTAGTGGCTGGATACCTTTAAACAAGGTAGATAAAATCAGAATAATAGAAGCAATTAACACAAAAGCTGCTATAAATCAGGTTGCAGAGGTCTGTAGTTTTACCAAAGATCCTGAGCTCTGTCTCTGTGCCTGCCCTTGTGCAGCCTGTTTGGCTACTCTGCAAATGGAAACACAATCTCGTGATGGAAGTCTTCAAAGCTCTCCCTGTCATGAATTTTGCTTAGTGCCTTTCTGCTCATTCTGGAACCCTTTTCTTCTCCCTCTCAAAGAACGGCTGTACAAGTACAGCCAGAGGTACAATACCTGCCCCTGCAGAACAGGGTGCTTGGCAAGTGTCTAAAATTCTGACCATTGAGTAGAGATTGAGTAGAGAAGGATTGTAGTTCACTCTTCCAAAAGAGTTACCCACAAGGTATGCCACCATGTTATTCAGATCTCAGGGTTTACTTCAGCCCAGCAGAGGTGGAGCTGGAGCTTTACCTGCATACACAGATTCAGGCCCATACTGTCAGTCTTCAGAGCAACACGTGCTCATTGTTGTTCTTCCTGTCTCTGACAGTACAACACCCCTTTGACAATATTTGAACAAGCACGCTAGGAACAGGTCAGTGGATCATTCCCCAGACAGGTTGATGTTGGGACTAGTACACTGCTGAAATCAGCCCCACTGCTTGCAACTCCTTAGAGACTTAAAAATAGCTCCTGGGGTGAAGGGAGGCTCATGGGAGGCCCATCCTTTCAGCTGGAAGATGTTACATGAAATTTAAACAGGAAACATTAAAGAGCAGAACTGCTCCTGCTGTTGGGGTAGATTGAATTTGGGACATCACTAGTTATCCATAAACACTAACTTTTCTGGTTGTTGTGGGCTCTCTGCAGCTCAGGAAAGTAGGTACTATTCTTTGTTTTCTTTTTGGCTTGCAAAACTGTCGAATGATTAAGTGGTTCTTCTCTTTCTGTTGCTTTTCTTCCCTTTCCCTGTAGGGATATTGCTGCCAGGAACTGCCTCCTTACCTGTCGAGGGCCTGGGAGAGTGGCTAAAATTGGAGACTTTGGAATGGCCCGGGATATATACAGGTAGCAGAGCTAAGCCTAGAGTATCCACAGGTGGAAGCTCACTAAAATGAGGGAGGAGCAGTGTTTGCGCAGGAGAGCAGGCTTGTGTGCTGCTCCACGTAACCCTAGCAAGGCAGGAGTGGAGAGATCCCACCCTGATGAATCCCAGCTAATGCTTTTTTGGAGTTTGCCTTCACCTGTAGTTTAACTGTGCTCTGGAGACTTTTCTCACTCATGACAGCTTTCTTCTGGGTAATGAAGTCTGATGATCATGGAAGGCATTTTTCCTCCCTCTTGTACTCTGTTCTCAGTTTCTTGTCTTTACTTTCTCCGCACTGAATGGCATTGATGTGCCCTTTTGTTTGGTGGTCCCAAATCATTCTGAGTTTAATCTGTCTCCTTGATACTACCCCTGCCCGTTTGGTTTTGTGTCATCAGTAAATCTCCTCAATTTACTGCAGATAAAGGAGGAAGGTGCAGAGGAAGGTCAGGAAAATGTAATCACCCAAACTGGAATTCAGCCAGGACACAGGGTTAACTACTCTGCTCTTGCAAGAAGTGCCAGGAAATCTTTAATGACCATGAGCAGTCAGGGCTGCAGTTTGGTATCTCATCTTCCACATAGCACCTCCAGAAGCACCTGCTGTGCTGAGGAATTGATTTGCCTCCGACTCGGAGAAAGGAATGCCTTTTACTCAGTCACCTGCACTGTTTATTCCAGTGCCTTGCCTTCTTTTTTCCCTGCTTGGGGATTCTCCTATGCAATTACTAAGCCAGGCCTGATTCTGCTTAGCTTGAGATCTGACAGTATCACAGCCTGAGGTGATGCAAACAGAGAGCTACCTTCAAAAACCCACGTGTATCAGAGCTGGGTTTTGGGGTGTTTTTTGCCTCCTCTCTCTCCCTTCACAAAGAGCCCCCACTCTGCCCCACTGTCAAGTGGGACTCTGCTGGGACAAAGTAGCATCTGTCACACTCACACAATCAGCAGAACCAACTGCCAAGATGAACGCTTTGGTGCTGAGTTTTCAAAGGTGCCTTTGAAGTTTGCACATGTTTCTGTGTCCAGGAATATCCTTTGGATGCTTAGGCTGTGTAGTTATGAACAGTGATAGCAGCTTGCATGAGCAGCCTCCTGCAGCTGCCAGCACAGGATTTGGGGCTTGTAGGTTTTATTTTAAATGACGATTACACTAAAGGACTGATGTAATTCCTGTCACAGGAGCACGGAAGGTGGTTTTTGTACTACTGCCCCAGCTCTAATGGCCAAGCTTCCTCCTCCTCAAGCTCCTTGTTCTTAGAAAGGGTTTGAGATTTCGCCTGCAGTGCTTTAGACTGGGTATATATGGGACAGGCGTTGTTTATTTTTGGTGGGGATGCTCAAGGTGACCACATGTGAGATGAGGTGGAGAGCTTGCTGTGGCTGAAAAGTGCAGGAGGATGGCTCTGCCAGCAGCAGTTTACTGTGTGAGTAATTCACTAGGAGTAGGCACACAGATAAGGATAATTTGGGTTTACCAGATCAGGCTTAAAGCGAGGGAGATTAGACCTGTCCTTCCATGGTCTGCCCATTTCCACTATTTTTGTAAGAAAGAACAGGTCTCTTCAGCATTTTCTCTGCCATGCTGTTTTGCCTAAATTAGTCTCTCCTCTGGCTCATAATTTTAGTATTTGTAATTATAAAAATCCCAGATTAATGGCATGTTCTGAATTCTTGGCTGACTCTTTGTTTTGTTTGTTCTTTGCAGAGCCAGCTACTATCGGAAAGGTGGGTGTGCAATGTTGCCCGTCAAATGGATGCCTCCTGAGGCTTTCATGGAAGGGATATTTACGTCAAAAACAGACACATGGTGCGCTTCCTTTCCTTCTCTGTCCCGTCTGTCTGTGTTGTAACCCCTTTTGTAAAGTGTGAATATTTTGTAAAAAACACATGTTCTTGTTCATTTCTCCTTTACTGAAGAGGCAAGCTGGGTCTTTCAGAGCCAGCAATCTTGGAGGAGGCAAGGGAACAGAAAGATCAGGTGTGCTGCTGGGGAGGTGAGCAGGCAGGGAAGGGAGGTTGAGGCAGATGCAGGTGCTGCTTTGCTGCTACAGGGAGGAAGGCCTTAGTTCCATACCGAGGAAAGCAGCACGGGAGACTGCAGGCAGGATCCATCCTGTCAGTGAGGGAGAAGGGCATCATGTGCTGTGGCTTTCATCGTTCTCCTGGCCTGCAACAGTACTTTAAGCTCTTGAGTTGCTGGTGGCCAGAGGAGGGGGAGGGAAATTGGGCAAGCAGGAGGCAAGAGCTCAGGACGTAGGGGAAGGGGCTGGTGGTCAGGACACAGCTCCTGAGCAAGCCCCAGCAGAGGGGTGGAGGTGCACTCTCCGTACAGCTGAGCTGCTGCCTGTCTCAGCACCGAGTGGAAGAGTTTCCCATTGCTGCACATAGCCCTTTGCAATTTTAAGCAACAAGATGATGATTTCCAAGCAGCTGACCAGATGAATGCTTTGGAGGGGGTTCTGTCCCAGCCATTGTCCCAGGGCTTTGCAGGCCACACCACACAGGCCCAGGGCTGTGGTGTTAGCTAGGGAATGTTTTTATTGTACTCTGAGCTATAGGTTGGGGCTATGGGGCTCAGAGCATCAGTGGGGATTCACTGGCATGTTATTTCACACAGGGTAGCTTATTCAAGAGAAAAAGTTTTGTCATAAGCAATCAGGCCACTGCTCCATTCAGTCCTGTCTCCAGCAGTGGCTCATGTCTCAGAAAAGCATAACCTGACTTTCACATTTGTTACATCTAGTTGAACAGTGCTGAGTACAAGGGCAAAGCAACCACATTTAGCTACCTATATCATAGACTTCACTCACGTAACAGTCAACTACTAGTATTCATTAAATTCATTAAATGATTCAAAGTCCACCATTACAACTGTGCAGCTTATTTATGTCTGAATCCTGCAGCAGTGATTTCCACAAGCTGCCTCAGCACAAACTGCAAAGAGCAATGCTGACACTACTGCACCTAAGGGCATTGCCCCTCAGTTATGGCCATTCCTGTATCCTTACTTTGTTTTCATTCGCTTCTGTATTCAGGTCCTTTGGCGTATTGCTGTGGGAGATATTCTCTTTGGGATACATGCCCTACCCTAGCAAAAGTAACCAGGAGGTTCTGGAGTTTGTCACCAATGGAGGAAGGATGGATCCACCTAAAAACTGCCCTGGCCCTGTGTATGAGATTTTAACTTTGATATATTCATGCAAATAAGTTTCTGCTTCAAATGCTGTTCTCTAGTCAAAAGTTAATGACTTTTAAGATTTATCTTATCGTGGCTGATCTGCCTTACTGGACTTGAGTGGCAGTGACTTTACTACTGTTTAATTTTTTGTCTGTTTTGGACAATAACTCAGGGCCCCGTTGAGAAGTACTGGCCACTGCTTGTTTGGTCAAAGATGGTGCCATATTTCTGTGTCTTAGGTTAGCTGTGAAACTGCAAGTGCGTAAGACTGTTCACAGGTAGAGAAAACTGGGCTCCATTATCTGCAGCCCTGCCTACCTTTAGTGAATTGTCCAGGGGATTTCAGGTGGGTGAGTTATTTCTGCGATGTGCTGTGGATTTTACCGCATGGGTGGCCACATTTCAGTGGTTACCAGTACATCAGTTGTCCGACTCTGGGGAAGGCAGAGCACTCTTACTTATTAGAAGTCAGAGTGGTGATGCATGCTTATGGTTTCTAAGCTGCAGTGACTAACTGTTATGTACCAACAGGATCTGCCATTTATGAGCATCTCCCGTTCTGCTCTTTCAGATATCGCATTATGACCCAGTGTTGGCAGCACCAGCCTGAAGACCGGCCAAATTTTGCCATAATCCTGGAGAGGATTGAGTACTGCACTCAGGTATCACTGTTCATTTGTCTCGAATTTGATGGGTGGAGAGGATTCTTCTTGAGGAGTGGTCTAGGCAAGTCAGAACATGAGATGAGAAGGCAGCACTGCATTACTGCAGTCAGCGTTCCAGGGAGACTGACATCAGCCTGGGACCAGTGGCTGGGATGTTTACCTCATTGGGTGGTTGATCCTTCTTGTCTTTCAGTGCTGAAAGGCACAGGCTTACACAAGCTGACACAGCTTTACAAATAGCAGACCCGTAGCTCTTCTTCTGCTTAGAAAGGCACAGGTTCCAACAAGCAAAAAAAGCTAAGACAGGCCAGCACCCGTATGCACTTCACATCCTTCACGTCAGCCACTCCATCCCAGTGTTTACACTTAAGACATGGTCAGCACTGAGGAGAAATGGTCCTGGCTCAGAGCACCCTTTGCAGGTGGCTTCTGCAGCTGCAGATTTTCTGAATCTGACTGCACTGGAGAAGGCAGGGTGGAGACAGCCATGCTAAAGGAATGGAGATTATAAGGCTAGGCAATGGGGAAAAGGATGTGGCTGGCTTTCCAGGCTGAAATCTGATTTTTTTTTCTTTTTTTACCACCATTTTCAGCTTATGAAGAGTGGAGTAGTTTGAAAAATGTTTTGCTGCCTGCATCAGCGCAGGCTTCTTGTGTGGCCTCACACAGTTATTTGCCTTAGTCAGTTTGCTTTCCCTTGCTGTTTGGGAGGCTTGGTCTATTTTTCATGTGTGTTTGGATACTAGGATTGGGAGGCATTGTTTTCTGCTATCTATAGCATGCCATGGCATCTAGAAATAGTTAAAGGTTGCCCAGATCACCACGTTTTTTCTGTTTAATTTTCAAAACTGTTTAAATAGCTCAGAACTGCAGTCCCTATGGATGGAGGCTTCAAGGGGTCTGCCAGTATTGCATTCTCTCTGCATTCCCATTCCTCCCTTGTCGTGTGGAGGCAATACCTTCATGGCTGAAACTTTCTCAATATTATCTGAGAATGTTATGAACTTTGAGAAGATATAGAATCCAAAACAACATTCCCACAGGAAATTTGGCTGGACATAGAAAGTGTTTTTCATTGATTTTGTGCCTCTGCTGTACTGTGATGCGTTTTAGCTTTGCTTTTTTTTTTTTTAAAGAGTTTGATTTTAAGGGTATCCCATTGCATTTCACAGCTAACTGCATTTTGTCAGCATCCTCTACACATGGAATGTGGGCTCTGGGTAGTGGGAACAATGTTCTGTGATCATAGCATGACAGCTGTCAGACGTGTCGGGATTTTTAATCAAGTCCGAGTATGCATGATGGTAGCAGACTTTGAGAAATTCTCATTGTTCTCTCCGGCAGGATCCAGATGTCATCAACACCGCTTTGCCGGTAGAATATGGCCCATCAGCTGAGGAGGAGGAGAAGGTAGCGATGCACCCCGATGATCCAGAAGGAATTCCTCCTCTCTTGGTCTCCACACACCAAGACAGAAAGGACGACAAGCAAACTCTGCCATCTCCACCACCCCTGCCATCAGCCATCACTGCTGGAAAACCTCTAGGGAAAGTGGGAGCCTTGGAACCACCGGTGCCGGGGAAGGTGCAGTCAGCCTCAGCGGGGGGACATATCAACATGGCCTATGCCCAGTCCAATCCCCCCTCTGAGCTGCACAAGAGCCGGGGCTCCAGAAACAAGCCCACCAACCTCTGGAATCCAACCTATGGCTCCTGGTTTGCGGAGAAGCAGGCCAGCAAAAACAGTTCTCTGCTGGAGAAGGAGACGCCTGAGAGGGAGAATTTGGGACAGGAAGGAAACTGTACTGTGGGGCCCAACATTGTGACTGGCAGGCTGCCAGGCTCCTCCCTGCTATTAGAGCCATCGTCCCTAACAGCAAGTGTTAAAGAAGTGCCTCTCTTTAGGCTCCGCCACTTCCCCTGTGGCAATGTCAACTACGGATACCAACAGCAGGGCTTACCCTTGGAAGCCTCCACGCCACCTTGCGCTAGCAGTTACGAGGACCCCGTCCTTAGAAGCAAGAGCCTCATAACCCAGCAGGGGCTGTGAGAGCCCTCTACCCTCTTGACTTTTCCCCCTGTGGCCCCTGAGCCTTGAAGAGATGTCCTGTTACCCAGTACGCCACGAGCGAGGGATCTGTCAGCATTACCTTCCATTTTGTGCCAACTTGCTCCAAAAGTGCCACCCTCGAAGCTGTAATTTCAACTAACCTGAGCGGCTTCAAATCACCAGAGCCCCAATGCAGTAAAAGACAATGCAGTAAAAGAAACAAGGCGGGGGGGGAGGGGGGGGGGGGGGGGAGAGGGGGAAGGATACGGGAAACAGATGTTAACTGCAAGGCCCAGCTGCTGTTGCATCAACTCATACGCATGGTTGTTGTCGTGCCCTTCCTGTGAGCTTTTCTCAGTTGTGCATTCTCTGCTTAAGTGTAAAGTCACCGCTTACTGCCTTGAGTGTGTCATGTCTGGGGTTTTCCGTGCCAAACTTGTGGTTGCTGTGGAACACCTGGAGATCTCCTGCAGCTGGCAGAGGTTATAGTGGGTTTGGGGAGAGCATCCTCCATCCAAACCACAAAAGGATACAACAGCACTGAATGGCGACGTGACGGCGCATTCCCAAGTTGTGTTCCAGCTACAGTCCAGTCTTTGAAAGTCCTTGAATGCACAGCGGTTATGGGGGTGTTGGCAGGGCCATAGGAAGACCCAGCTACAGTCCAGTCTTTGAAAGTCCTTGAATGCACAGCAGTTATGGGGGTGTTGGCAGGGCCATAGGAAGATGCTGGTCATACTGCATCGCTTGAAGGAGAGAGGGGGAGGAAGCATAGAGGATGGGTGTAGATGCTATGAGGCATTCCGGGTTGGTGGGGCGGGGTTGGTTTGGCTGGGGTTTTTGTTTTGTTTTCTTTTTCTTGTGCTTAAGCACTAAAACTGAGTAAAGCCCTTTAAAATTGCTTCTGTCCTACAAAAGTAGGAAGGTCCTTCATCAGGAACTTGTGCGTGTCAAGTGGGACTGAGGTGAAGTTTTAAAGGACCAAGGTCATGAGAGAAACTTTCCCCGTGCCCTGAAAATGGACAGCCACCTGCATACCTCAGAGGTGTACAATTGCCTTTGACATACCCTGTACAAACAAGAACATAAACGCGGAAGACTACATCGTGCCACAATCCGGATGCCAGATACTGTCTGTATTTGAAGGGTTTAGAGCCCTTGTTCCTTTAACAAAATACGTGTATGATAGTGGTTTAAAGACAAACACTGCATTGACTCATTTTGTACACCTTGTGCATGGAAAAATATTCCAGTTAAGTGTATTGTCAAAACATAGATGTAGGAAATAATTCATGTGTAAAGATGTGCATTAGTAACTTCAACTTAAGGTTGCAAGGAGCTGTTTTAGCATGAACGCTATCCGAAAAAGGGGTGCCTATTTCCATAGAAATGGGTCTACTGGAGCATCAGCAAAAGGAATGTGAAGGTTTTCTTCAGTCCGAGACTCTTCGTTTCAGTGAAGTGACTCTGAATCTGGCCCTGGATCCAAACACTGAGGTAAGCGCCCTGTCTTCATAAGGGAACAAACCAGAAACCATCATATACATCCTCCTAACCTTTGAGATGTACAGACTGAAATCAGAGGGCTTGGTTTGGGCCACCACCCTTGTAAAAAAAACGTAAGAGGGGGGGAAGTAGTGTGCTCTCCTAACCTGCCTTTCTGAAATCTCTGATACACAGAACTGAAATTGCCAAAATTGTGTGTGGTGGTTGGTTAACAGGGCTGTGCTCTTGTGTTGGGAAGCTTGTCAGGGGCTGCTCTGAATTTCCTGTTTGCCTGCTAGGGATCCATCATGCTGCCGCTGCATGGCATGGCCTTCTTTAGCTTGGACTAAGAGAATATTTGTGATCTCCAAGGTTATTAGGCTCACAGCTCTTGCCATGAAACAGGCACTGGGGAGGGATTCTGTCTAGCTTAGGACTGTGTTAGTGTCACACTGGTGTCTCTTTCTCGCTCAGTAAACTCAGTGCGGTAGTTTTCTGGAGTCTCAGGAAAGCTGATTAATTCAGGAGGTAAGCACTATCAGAATAATTTCTTACACTAGTATATTATTCACATATAATAGCAATTTTCATTTAAATATTCCAGCTTTCTCATTTTCGGAAGGGCTGAAGCTCCTCATTTTCTTTAGCTCTTCTTTGCATAGGAGCACACTCAGTTTTTGCTGCCCTGCCTCTTAAGTGTTACTGAGGACAGAATCTGACCTGTATACTGATGAGTGTTCTTAAAAGAATACACAGGAACAAAAATTTGCAAAAAGTTAATGATCTTTGACTAGCCGAAATTATTAATGCTTGGATCTGGGGCAGCAGCTCTGATGCGGCACAAATGCAGATAAGCTGCCAGGTTATGATGTTAAAGGTAGCATTTCTAAAGATGCTTTAAAACCGCAAGCAGCAAAAGATGATTATAAGTTTGTGGGGGTGAAGGGGGAAAGGCAGGCTTTCCCCAACCATATGGTGATAGCATCATTACTGCTCTGCAGCTTGTGCTGTGCGGTTATTGTATCATAGAATTTCAACTGAAATGCTCTTACAGAATGGGAGTTGTAAAAAATGAAGGAGCTAAACATATTACAGCTTCCTACCTATGGAATATGTGAGATAATTCTGGTCAGGGGAAATGGTGAATTACTACTGAAATTCTCCAGTCTGCTGGGTACAGTACATTGAGATGAATACTGTTCAGCACTAGCAGTTGGTTTTAAATAAGCTTCCTCCCACTGTCTCCAGTGTAAAATGCTTTGTTGTGGGTTTTTTTGTGTTGGGTTTTGGTTTGTTCTTTTTCTTCTTAAATCCCCCCCCTCTTAACTCTTTGAATTTAGAGGAATTCAGAAATCTAGTTTGGGCCTATTTGCAATGTAAAAAAACGTAACATCTGAGCTCTTCCACAGCAAGCATTTAGTTTGGTACCCCTGTGTGCTGTCCCAGCACAGTACCCCAGTTTGCAAAAATCGTTTTGTAAATATAGATGTTAATCAAATCTTGCCACTCGTGCATGTGTGTGTAAAGAGCTAATTCACTTGACGCAGGTGTATGGAGACTTCACAGAATTTATTTTAGCATTTCTCCTACAACATCTGGAAGTGTTCATGTTTCTTCTGTTCCAGTTTCTAGCAGTTTCATTCTAGCACTTTTTCTATAGCTGTACGCCATTAGCAAGAGCATTTTGTCCAGTATGAACAAGGAATTTTTAACTTCTGCGTGTAGAAAGACTCACCTGTTCAGTTCTCAGAGCTGCAGGGAACAGAAGGGGCTTAAGTCACCATGAGCTCACCAGACCAAAGCAACCTGTCGTGTAAATCCCAAATTCCCTTAATAAACCCCTCCACGCTAGGCCTACAGTGTTGCGGGGGGGGGGGGGGGGGTGTTCAGGTTATTTTAACCCTTTTACCCATTTTTGTCTGTGACATTTTTTTAAAATATGGTTTATTGAAACAATGTAAATTTTTTTAAGGAACTTGTTTTAAGACCGTTAATCTTTTTCATTGGCAATATTTACATTCTTATGTGTCTTCCTCACTCTACAGTGGAAAAGCAGGAAGCAGTATGGTCTACAGGATGTAAAGCACGACTGGGAAAATCCTGTGCTACCACTCTCATATGCTGAAAACGGCTTATTTCCATGTGGATGTTACCTGTTTCCTATAGACGCTAGGTAGGTTTCCGAATCTGTAAGCTGGTGAAGGTGAACTAGGTTGGGCTGCCTGTTTAGCTACCTTTCCAGTTGTCCTTTCATCTTCCTTTTTGCTACTGAACCTTGTTTCTCCATCATGTGCCTGGAAATGAAGCAAGGCAAGAAGTTTGGGTGGTTCTGCTTCCTCGAGGCGCAGTGGAAGGAGTGGGGAGAGGGGCTTTGCTGTAGCAAGGGAAGGAGGTACAGGTACCACAGGTTGAAAGCACGAGGGCTGCCTTAATTTGGCCGAGTCAGCCTTTCACAGCGGTGTAGTATCGCGGGTCCACTGGCTTCCCTCCCCCTGTGGTCACAAAAGGACGCAGGCTCAGCATGAGAGCAGCTGCAGCACCGCTGGGCGCAGTTGTGTATACACTGCATGATGTAAGAGGTCTGAAATAGGCTATGAAGGAGTTAACTTTGCATGTCTGCTCCTGTTACTGAGCCTATCTTCTGGGTGACAAGAACCTTGACATAGGAATAGCATAAAACAGCCTTTCACAGCAGCAAAGACATCGCCGTTTGTCTGTCCCAAAGTTAAACCCATCACAGAATGTCCGAATTGTCCGCATCTGGCTTCTTTTAGTAACAAGCTTCATTATAGGAGTGTCTGTCTCATGTACAGCAGTTTATCCAACATTGTTTATAAAGGAAGGGCCTGTGCACTTCAGGGATACTATGAAGAAAAATACTAATATATGGTCATTGAGTATTTTGTATTGAATAGTGTATTTGTATTGTAAACAAGTGTAGTGAACCACAAGGCATGAAGACAAATAAAATTCCTGTAGCTGGCTTTCTCTGTGTTGGGCTGTGTAATGATTGGATCAGCGTCGGAGGGAGGTCTCTGGACATCAATTTTTACTTGGTAAAGTTACAGAAGTATTAAGGTACACCGAAACACAAAGGAGCAGGTGTGGTGCTAAACTGAGACAGCCACCTTTCTGGCTCGCAGCAGCATGTTTAAGACTTGTTTGCATTGCAAATGTCATACTTCCAAGTTTCTGCCAGAGAAAGGTGCTGTTCCTTCTACTACAAACCAGCAAGGTTGGCTTTTACCTACAGGAAACTGGCCAGTATAAAAAGAGAACAAAGTATATGGTCAAAGAGAGCATTTGGGTGTGTTTATTCCTAAGTGTTTATGTCCAAAGACAGCATTTTTCTTTGAGTCTGGACACAGACTTTGAGTAGGTCTAATTATAAGCTGTATTTTAACACAGTGGAGTGTCAGTATTGAGGCCTGTGACAAGCGTTAAGAAGAGGTAACTCCTGCCCTGAAATGCTCACTTCTTTCCCCTCGCTGTACCACTCCTATGCCACAGGGAGC